GAGGATCTGAGTTCAAACCCTGGGAATTGTATGATGGAAGAAGAAAACCAATTCTCCTACTTCCATACATCTGCCTCAGTACTCAGTGTGAATGCATGTGCACATTCTCTCTCTCTCTCTCTCTCTCTCTCTCTCTCTCTCTCTCTCTCTCTCTCTCTCTCACACACACACACACACTACAATAAACATTTTGCAGATAATAAATATTTTATATGTACAGTACTTGGCAAAGTGCCTTGTTACATATTTATTAGTGTTTTTAAAATTTTTAAATTTAAAATTAAATTTTATTTTTTGTATGTAGGTGTTCTGCTTGCATGTATGTCTGTGTACTACTTGCATGCCTGGTGCCCATGAAGGCCAGAAGAGGGCATTGGATCCCCTGAAACTAGAATTACAGATGGTTGTAAGCTGCCATGTGGGTGCAAGGAATCAAACCTCAGTCTTCTGGAAGAGTAGCCAGTGCTCTTAAAGCTAAGGCATCACTATAGCCCTAGTATTTATGATATTTACTATTATGCATCATTAAAAATAATTATTGATAGTTGACCTATTTTGTTTGCAATTAATGAATATGTATTATTTATATGTAATATCTATCCACATATACAATTATTATACTTGATGTATGCTCACTGACTGACAGAATAAATTGTGTTTTAGAAAAGTGTTGTAGTTTTTTTTTTTCTTTTTTTTGGGGGGGGGGGGGGCTGCCACCCAGCTCCTAAATAAATCACACAAGGAGGCTTATTCTTAATTATCAATTATACCCAGCTTTAGCTTGGCTTGTTTCTTGCCAGCTTTCCTTAACTTAAGTTATCCCATCTCTCTTTTGCCTCTAGGCTTTTCCCATTCTCTTACATATGCAAATCTTACTCTTACTCCATGGTTTGCTGTGTAGCTGGGTGGCTGGGTGGCTGGATGGCTGCGTGGCTGGGTGGCCGCGTGGCTGGGTGGCCGGGTGGCCGGGTGGCTGGGTGGCCGGGTGGCCGGGTGGCTGGGTGGCTGGGTGGCTGGGTGGCTGGATGGCTGGGTGGCTGGATGGCTGGGTGGCTGGGTGGCTGGCCCCTGGAGTCCTCCTTCTCTGGCTACTTCCTTTTTTCACTCCTCCATCTCTTTTCTTCTTCCTCTTCCCAGATTTCTCCTTCTATATATTCTCTCTGCCTGCCAGCCCTGCCAATCCTTTTTTGTAGATGAATTTCTAAACAGCCTTATTAAGTAAGAAACACAGAGCCAAATACAGAGGTGCAAGCCGTAGAGATCAGAGCAATAGCCGCCAACTAACCTTAGCTTACTACCTCGCTGTAGGTTCCCAAGAGAGACTGTATGGTTCCTTTCTGCTCACAGTTACCACAACAGTCTTATTTCACAGCCCTAAGAATGGAAGTTGAGTGAGAACCAGAAGCAGGAAGGAATTACTGAATTGCCTGCATTGACAAAGAAAATGCCTTGATAAAGTCTGTGCTTGCATTTCAGAAACCCTAGGCCTCATACATTATTTTTTAGTCTTTAATAAACCAAGTGTAAGATAAAAAGTAAAAATGTTTCAGATGCCAGACCATGACATGCCTAATATGAATACAAGTTCGATTGTAATATCTAAATACTAACTTTCATTTCTTCATATCCTAATAGTTGGTAATAATAACATTCAAGGTTTAGCAAATTGCATTACATTGTTAAATGAACTGTACAAATACAATATCTTGAACAAGATTAGAAAAAGTACATACAGCATTTTTTAAATATCAATCTCAATATATATAATTTGTATATAATATATAAAAATCCAATCCAATGTAGAATATTTAAAACTAGTAATTGTCTTTTAAAAGTAGATTCAATAATCTACCTTTTTATCTATATCATATCTATGTCCTCTCTTTTCTTTTCAGAGTAGATTCAATAATCTGCCCTCTATTCTATCATTTCTATATATCTTCTTTTTTTCAAACAAGAACCTTAAATCTCCCTTGTTTAGCTCTTTTCCTAACTATTAACACTTTTTTTGTTTTGCTATTGGCCATTTAGCTCGTTATTAAACCATCAGGTGTTTTAGACAGGCACAGTAACACAGCTTCACAGAGTTAAACAAATGCAACATACACAAAAGTAATAAACCTTAAAATGATATTCTACAACAGAAAAGTCTGTTTTTTCCATCTTATTCCTTTTGTTTTTTTCTGCCTCAACTGTCAGGAGTCACTTGTCACTTGAGCCCAGTTAGCATGCATTTTCAGACATGAGATGCCCGGCCTTGCAACATTCTCTCTCCTCCCTGCTTTCTCCAGAATCATTAAGGAATGTTTTTCGATTCCAGAATTATTTCTCTTATCCCTCCCACCCAATTCCTCGATCCTTGTGAGAGATGATGTTGTCTATCTCCTTTTGCTTCCTTAAGTCTTTTCTTTTGGGAACTTGTTGCTGTCTGCAGTGATACTTCATTCCAAGAGGGGGCCTAGGTAACATCTGACTCCCCAGAGCGCAGCAAAAATCAGCAGGTTGTCATTTCACAAGAAGTTCTATGAGCTTTAAGAGGAAACCTCAGAATTTTACACTCTGGAAAACATTCACATATCAGCACACACTCACACAAAAGCACTGAAACCAGACTAAACATGGTATCTCACCCAGCTGTCTCACCAAGTCATTGTACTGGCACCTTGAATGAGTCTACCATCCCTCCCTCCCTCTATCTTGCTACCAAAGAACCAGACAATTACTTTCAGTTATTCTACAAAAGGGAGGTTCATGGAAGTAAGTTCTATCAACCCTTCGCACAACAGAGTAAAAATAACCCTTTATGTTTATTTATCTTATTTGTTTTTGGTGCTAGGGATTGAACCCATTTATGAGGCAAGTACTCTACCACTGAACTACATTCCCAACCACTGTGATTTTTATTGTTTAAAGAATTGCCTTCACTATCATCAGCATCTTTATTGCAGAAGGGGATGCTGACCTCTCCCTAAGCGAGCACGTATCATTCCTGTGTTAGAAAAGCAACTCTTAGCTTTGAAATAACATTGGCTCCCATCATTCTCAGCTCCACACCCCCACACACAGTAAAGTGACTGCTGTGAACAAATTTGGGCATGTGGCTTGCTGTTCAGCTAGGCTAAGGGTACGCTTCCCGATTGTGTGGGGCATGCCCCTGTATTCCACCAAGGGATATTTCAGCTCTGGTTTTACCAAGCTGGTAGAAAGGCTTGTTCATTTCTAAGAAAACTGTAAGACAAAAATCTTGTGAATGCATTTTTGTGCTTCACTTACAAAAATGTCATCGTAACAATTTTGTAAAGTGTTAGAAAATGTTGGGGGAAGTGTTAGGAGCAAACAAACTAATATCTAACAGCTGAAAAATCCTCTGTGTCTGCATTTCTAAAGGCTTGACTCATGTGCAGAAGTTTGGAAGATACTAATACTTGGAATCCATCTCTAACAATTCTGCTTTATGTGGTGAGGTGCAGCATGTCCCAGCACCAGGGTTTCTGCACAAAGATCCAGGCAATTCTATCTGAAGCAACAATTGTGTGTGTGTGTGTGTGTGTGTGTGTGGGTGTGTGTGTGTGTGTGTGTGCGCGCGCGTGCGCGCGCGCGCGCGCGCCTCTATGCTGGCATGCATGTGCTTGTATTTATGTGTGTCTGTGTGTATGCACATTTCTGTGTGCATGTGTATGTATGTGTCTCTATGTGTTTGCTTGTGTGTGTGTGTGTGTGTATGTGTGTGTGTATTTTTTCAGAATCTGAGCAAAAATTTACTTACACTCCTTTCCTTGAACTACTAAAAGACACTGCCTCTTTGTGTGAGAATATACATTTGGTTGTGAGTTAGAAGGTTCTGTTACACCTACTGGAAATGATTGGTTTATGCTACTGTTCAAGTCAGTTGTTTATGGATTTCTTTCTCTGTGTCCTATTTATTATTGAAAGCATGGTTTTAAAGCTTCATATTACTATTGCATTGACCTCAGAATCTCTTTGAAGATCTACCAACTATGACTTGGTCAAACATATAATGTGTTTATAGTTGTATTTAGGATAGGCATATTATGTACAATTATGACCTGGTTATTGTTTCATTTGTAAATAAAGCATGACATAAGTAATACAATTTTCTGTCAACTTAATGGAGGTGGGACTTGTAATGGCTATTCTTCATTGTCAACTTGACCACATCTGGATTAACTAAAACCCAAGCAGCTAGGCACACCTGTGAGAGATTCTTCCTGATTTGATCATTTGAGGTAGGAAGACCCACCCTAAATCTGGGCCACACCTTCTTATGGAATCCTTGTAAATGATGTGGAAGAAGAAAACTTTTGCCTGCTTGCCATCATTCACACTGGAAAGTTCATATATCCTGCTGCAGGACCATACCATGTAAGTCACTGTAATAAATCATATATATATATATATATATATATACATATATATTTGTGTGTGTATATATATACATACACATACATACATATATACATACACATACATATACACATACACATACACATATACATATACATATATATGTGTGTGTGTGTTCTGCGGTTGGAAATCTTAAACCATTTATCCTGAAAATGGAGACTTTCTGTCAGTATCCAGAAACTTTGCAGACCAAGAAAGACAGGGATCATTTAACACAAGGTACTGAAAACACATGTCACTTAAAATATTATCCCCAGAGACAATTAGGGGCTGATAAAGTCTCATAATAATAACTGGTTTTAGAGTTGTCTTCCCTAGTAGTTTATTGAAATGTTTTAAACAATTGCATTAACTTCTTCATCGGGTAATCCATAGATCTCCATTTTGTATGTGTGTGAGTTCTGATAAATTTGTTGTGTTTCTTCGGCAGTTTTTTATATTTCCTAATATTGCTTTATGCTCTTATGTCCCTTGCTGAGGAGTCTTCACATTTGGAAATTATGTCACTGCTTCCAGATCTCATAGACCACCCATTGTTGGGAGCTAAATACCTACACTAGGGGTTGGAGGGGGCACGTGGACATATCTGCAGAAGTGGGGCTGCATAATGGCACAGTTGTGAGGAGGCTTTCAGCATCTTTGGATCTAGGGGACATAGTGGTGTGAGCTTTAAAGCTAGGTTCTGAATCAGCAACACCATAAGGATCCTCAGCAACAAAGGTTCCTGGGATCCCTCTGCTACTCTTTTCTCCTGCCTGGGAAGTCACAGCTGAGCACATTGCTTTCCACACTGAGTCCTGCTGCTCTGTGGATGGGATGACATGGGGTAAAATGAAATTGCTGTTCCTCCTCCTTCCATGCAATTATCCCTGGGATTGTTTTTATTACTAAATTTTTGTAGCTTTTTTTAAATGGACTCCAGGGCTCTCCTGTAGCCAGTTTCATCCATTCACACTGGCTAAATTGTTTTTTGTTGTGGTGGTGGTTATTTTGTTTGCTTGGTGGTTTGGGGTGTGTTTGGTGTGTGTGTGTGTGTATGTGTGTGTAAGAAAAGACCTACTTTTTAATTTACCATCTTGCTAGTGCTTTTGCTACTGACTCTTGATTTGTCTCATAATTTTGTAAGGATTCATGTTAACTTGCAGAAATACACCAGTGCAAGCTATTTCTTTCTGATAACAACATAAATGAAATTATGCTTTCAATAGGCAACCACTCTTATCCATGTAAAATTTTATAAAGCCAAATAGTGTAGCTTATTTATTTGTTCATCCACTCATTAATTCTTGACCTGTACAGCATTAACAGGTTTTGTATATAATGTCACAATTGTAAATTTCCTTTTTCATATATATACATATTTACATTTCTTTCCCTTGTGTGTTTTACTGATTCATGTTACCCTACTTTTACTTTTCAATGCTAGGGTTTTATTTCTGTGTTTTAACTGAGTTACTTTCTGATTTATATAGGGCAACATAAGAAAAAAACATTTTATTTCATGGTCTGACCATTTAATGATTTCTGAAGCATAAAAATTAATTTATTCTCTGCTGGGTGAGAGATGTCAGACAATTTGATTTAGTGGCCTTTTTGTTAGGTCTACTGAAATCAATGGAGAAAACTTTTCATGCTTATTCCCAAGAAGAAAGCAAATTGGAAACTAGATCAGCGCTTTGCAATTAAGACAATGTGTATACATTGAATTTTGTCTTGTGTATATAATTCTGGGACTAGGGTTACAAAATCGCTCTCCCTCTTCCTCTTCCCCGTCTCTCTTTCTCTCCTCCTCCTACCCCCTCTTTCTCTGTATGTGTGTAACTGAGAAAAGCTTTCAGTTTTCAGCATTTGTGAAATATTTTCCTACACTACAGAGTATTTATATGTTAGATTTAAAAAACTCCCTAAATTAAGGTCTGTTCTGATAAGAAAGTAACAAATATAGACCCAGTTCTAATATCCACTGAAAACAAAGGCATGCAACTTCAATTATTTAAATTGTGCAACCATTTGAAAGAGGACAAGGTGGAGGAATGAAGACAGGAAAGAAGAAGTGCAGGAGAAGAAAGAGGAAGAGGAGGAGGGAGGACATCTCAACAAATCTGTGGTTAAGAGTTATCCAGCCCCTGAACTTGGTTTCTTAAAGGATTGATACAGTTCTGAACTAGCAGTTCCATTGGGTGGTTAAGAGCACTGGTTGCTTTTCCAGAGGACATAGATTCAATTCCTTGGTGGCTCAAAACCCTCTGTAACTCTAATAAGTCCCAGGGAACCCAATACCTGTTTCTATCCTCTGTGGGCCCAGACATTCACATGGTGCACAAACAAACATTCAGGCAAACATTCATATACATAAAATAAAAAATACATAAAATAACAAATAAATGTATATTTTAAAAACAGGTTAATATTTTAGAAAAATTAATGTAGCTTCATAATTTTGGATTTAAAAATTTCCCAGAAAGATGTCATTTCTTTGTGTTAATCAATACAGAGGAAAATAATACCTTTGTAAGGTATTGATTTGTTTTCTCTTGACAGCATCTGTTCCCTGAATTTCCTCTGCTTCTTGCAATGGATGTTTCTACCCTTGTCATCAGCCCTTCCACAAACCTAGCTGCTCCTGAGCTCCATTAGAGTTATCTGCCGCCCTGATGATGTGCAAGAAATGTACCTGACACTTTAGTAACTGCACAGTTGATTTTGCTTGAGCAAATAAAATACATGTTAACGCACATATAATACACATTGTAGATTTGCTTCATATATGTTCTTTGAAGTCCCTTGTGTCTTATGATACCTACAGTATAGAAATCATTTCCTACCTTGTTTTGGAGTAACTCTCTACAGATTGTTTCCCTGCATGTTCAGATATCTCACAGGCAGAGGCCGTGACTACCTTTGCTGAAGATGATCTTTGCAAAGGTCTTTGTGTAGCAAACAGCCTTGGAAGAGAGCGCTTCTCTCTAGAGCAGAAGATAGACTTGTGTAGTCAGCATAGTAAAGATAATGGCTTCCTCTGTAATAAATTTCACATCATTTCCCTGCAGCACCTGCTAAAAGATACAAGTCTGTCTAATTCTTGGTTTCTTGGCTCTGATTAAAACTCTCTCATGTGAACAAGATTGCCTGGCCCCTTTTACATGGGTCTCTCTATGAATAGGTTGGCGAGGGGAACAAATGCCACCATGAAGGTCACACCGCTTGCTTTACTGTAATAAATAGCCCTTTGTCTCTGACTTAAGAATCTTGGGTCTTTTGCCAGGACCCATGAAACCATGACAGTCTGATTTGTTAATGTACAAGCAGGATGACAATTTGTATCTCACAGTAACCTTTCAACTTTTCAAAGCTATCAGGGAGCCAACCAAAGCCCTTTCACAGAAATATTGAAAAGAGGGAGAAAGCATAAGTAGTTAGTGAGACTGAAATTTAGATTTACATGTAAGGAAAGAGAGCTCTATACCTGGACAGAAGTTTACCAATTATTCAGTGGGAAAAGCAGAGAAAAGTACAACAAAATCTTGAGAGATAAACACTGTTCCAAGACATTTCCTGTACACATTGAAAGAACCATTGAACTGATTCTGTAGGGTTTGTGGATCCAAAGGTCAGGAAGCTGAGCTGCTTTTTTGTAAGACCCCACAGCAAAGTTACACATGGGCCTTAATGAACATCACTCCACTGGAGCACTGTTGGTTACTGGAGGAAATTGACCCCAACTTCTCACTTGTCTCAATGGGTGGTTGAGGATGTCCTTTTGTGCTTATCAGAGGATTCCGTCACAGGCCAGGGATCTGGTTTTCAAGAAAGTAAACTTGTCTGAGAGGCTCCTGAAGTAACAAGGAACAAGTATCTTTTTTTTTAATTTATTTATTAAATTTAATTTTACATATCAGCCATGGATTCCCTTGTTTCCCCCCCCTCCTGCCCCCCCTCCCCCTGTCTTCCCCCCAGCCCACCCCCCATTCCCACCTCCTCCAGGGCAAAGACTCCCCCGAGGACTGAGATCAACCTGGTAGATTCAGTCCAGGCAGGTCCAGTCCCCTCCTCCCAGGCTGAGCCTGTATAAGCCCCAGGTTTGAAACAGCCAACTCATGCAATGAGCACAGGACCCGGTACCACTGCCTAGATGCCTCCCAAACAGATCAAGCCAATCAACTGTCTTATTTATCCAGAGGGCCTGATCCAGTTGGGGGTTCCTCCGCTATTGGGCTATTGGTTCACAGTTCATGTGTTTCCTTTCATTTGGATAGTCGTCCCTGTGCTTTTTCCAACCTTGGTCTCAACAATTCTCACCCATACAAACCCTCCTCTTTCTCACCCATTAGACCCCTGGAGCTCCACCCGGGGCGGAACAAGTGTTCTTAAGAATTCTTCCCTGGGGAACTGAATTCATCAGCTCCAGCAGTGGAAGTGAGGGTGTTGTTTAGAGGATGGTGAGAATGACATCAGAGGACTGAGTAGGGGTGGTGGTTGTTGTTGTTGTTGCTGTTGTTGTTGCTGTTGTTTAAATTCCAGAAGCAGACAAATTCATGGAAGTGTGCTGTCATCTAAGATCAAGAGGAACACTGAGTAACTATGCAGCACTCAGTTATTTTTCAGGTTCAAAATAAATCTGTTTCAAAAGTGTACAAATCAGTGTATAACCAAGGGCATGAAAAAGATAGCCCTGCTGTATTTAAGAATAAATATTATTTAATCAGAATTATAAGTCCACTTTTAAGAAAAAAGGGGGTGTCATTTAGATCTGGAATGTAACTGTCCAAGATAGATGGTCAGTTACATCAATGGAGTACATGATTCTAGCCACATAAATAGTATAGAAGATCAATGTTATTTGAGAAGATACTCAGAAGATTAGGGAAGCATGAGTACAAAAATTAAAATTAATGCCTGTGTGCAAGTTGGCAGGAGGCTAAAGGAAACCAATACCCTTCCCTGCTCCTCACCTACCCAAGGAATATAAGACAAAATAAGAATGATTTGAAGCCAAAGCAATCTTGTGCTGGAAGGTGCTACACGATACAGGAGGAGAAAAATAATTGTCACTCTTACAATGGTGCAACAGTGCCAAGAATGTCATAGGAGTAGCCAACTACTTACGGTTTAGGATCCAACTCTTTAAGATGAAACCCATATCTATCATTGTTATCGGGGCCAAGAATCTGAGGCTGGGCAGGTAGTAGGCCCTAGAGTAGTGGTTCTCAACCTTTCTAATGCTATAAACAACCCTTTAGTACAGTTCTTTATGTTGTGGTGACCCCATTCATAAAATTATTTTTGTTGACACATCGTAAGTATAATTTTGCTACTGTTACAAAATATAAATATCTGCTGGTCTTAGGTGACCCCTGTGAAAGGGTCATTCAACCCTCCAAAGGGGTTACCACTCACAGGTTGAGAACTGCTTCCCTAGAGGATAACCTACTACTCTTATACTGCTAAGTAGACACAGCATTTAGCAACTCCTACTGGTTGATTGCTATACCTACAGATTAGTGATTCCCTCAACATTCATGGGAGGTGTCTTTCTATGGTAGATGGCAATTAACAAAGAGACCCATAACTTGTCAAGGTGTAAAGAATAAGAAGCTGTAGAATACTCAGAATAGCTTGAATGGGATCTCTATATCCCAAGAGTCGTGTGAAAGACGGTAAGGGCCAGAGTCGGTGGATGACTACAAGCAAACAGTGTCTTTGGGTCACAACAGAGCAGTTGAACACATGAACTAACAGTGATTGTGACAGTATACATAAAGCCTGCACACAAAATTCTGCCAGACCAAATTCCAGCGTGGGGAGGGCAGGTGGGTACAAAGTCATGTCCCAAGCTAAGGAGCTATTAGGGAAGGAGATTCAGTTTTCTTCTGTAGTGTGGACACTGCTAAGTTAGCCACACTCTAGTTCATATCCACATACACAAGAGCATATAGGTAGCACAGATTGGACCCAATAGGTTTCAAAAAAAAGTGGACACAAGTAAGGAAGGAGGACTAATCTTGGAGGAAAGAGTAACTGGATGTGATCAAAATACATTGCATGAAATTCTAAAAGGATTAATAAAAATGTAAATGCAGTTGTGAAGTACATCACTAGAAGGCTGTGTGACTTCTTATCTGTAATTGGACAAAACAGCATGACAAACTTCTTGCTTTGCCTAGAATCATCTGAAGGATTTAGTTGGCCTCACAGTGAGCCTTGCCTAATCCTCTCCATGAGTGATCTGAGTATCCATCTTGGTGGGGAATTACTACTTATGGTCAGAAGCCTGTTCTGCAGATCTCTTGGGATGCTGTGGCCACAGGACTAACACTCACATTAATAGCCATGCTAATGAATTTTGTTCTAACTCTCAAGATTGGAGACCAATGATATGACACTTTGCCACCAAGCCTGAGAACCTACAACTCATCTCTGGAACCCATATGGTGTAAGTTGACAACTGTCTCTTGGAACTTGTCATCTGATATCCACACATGTGCTATGTACACGTATACCCAGCACCACAGATGAATAGATAATAAATGAAAGGGAAGTTTTAAAAACATTTAAAACTGGATTGCTTTTCTCCCTCCCTCCTTTTCCCCTCCATCTCTTTCCTCTTTTTGCCTCAGGAGACAATTTTCACTTTTGTGTGTCATTTTACAACCTTGTTATATCAGTCACTGTATTTCAGTTTTCCTTATACTTTCTTTGAAAGAGCTTCACCATCCTTGTTTGCTCATTGTGTTCAATAAACCCTTAGCGTGACTTTCCTCCAGAGGAAAACCATGTTTTTCAACCTTTGAAAATTCTATCCTGGCATTGTTGAAAGGTTAAAGCAACAGTATATAAATCCAGCCTTTAATCTATAGGTTTATGGCTAAAGGTTATTTAATAAATATAAACAACCTACACATTTGGTTGACCATGTGCATTTTTGTGGACTCTTCTGACTTATTGGCCTTCAACCTTATTTCAAGCTCTTCATAAAGTACAGTATTTTATGTGGCCTCTAAGACTTTAGTATTCTACCTTGTCATATAAGTCCTTTGCATTTTACTGTTGAAAATGGGTTTTAGGACATTTGGTACATGGAAATTCTATATATGCATGCTGCCTAGTTTTTGCAGGTCACTAAAAACATAAGATGTTTCTCTCAAAACTCTCAAAATTTTTATATGTTGGTGTTTTATAAAGCTATTGCTCTTATAAAATTTTTGCTTAAAGAATCCAGATATTACCATTATAATCCATGCTATAAGTAACTAATACAATTTTGAAAGATATGACATTCAAATCAGTGTGGGTAAGGTTATTATTATTTTGTAGGGGTGGGAGAGTCTGTGCCATGGTATTCATATGGAGATCACAGACCTGGTATGGTGACCTACACCTATAATCACAGAATTTGGGAGATGAATGTAGGTGGATTACCAAAGTTCAAGGCTAACCTAGACTACAGAGAGAACATACAAGTGAACCCAGTGCTGGTCTCCCAAGATGATAGAGATTACAAAATGACTCTGTCTCATTAGCCTGACTACCACTAGTTTAAACAGTACAATTGTGAATGGGGACAAAAATCACTTCTGGAGCCTCAGAAGTCTTAATAAAGCAATAGTAAACCCCCAACAAATTAGAAATGCTTGAAGTACCTTGGCAGAGAGAAGAAAGTAAAAGAAGCTGAGAGAAATGAAATCCTTCAATGAATCTATCATGTAAGGATGAAGTCCCAGCAGAGGACTATGGTCCATGAGAGGGACCAGAGGATCACACATTCACTAAGACTGTCATATACATACTATATGAAGGGCAGGAGTATTAGTCAGTTCAGAGATGGCTCTCCTCTGTCAGGAGGGATGACACTCACATAGGCAGTCATAGAGTGAGGCTTATTAACACAGATGGGGACAATGTTTAGGACCCTCCAGAAACCCATCATCATTTTTTCTAGTTGATCCTAACTGTAATTTCTAAATTGCCATATAATTTCATACAATTTGGGATAAAGTCTTATTTGACGACATTGAAGAGATTAATAAAACAACAGGCCACAATTTCCATGTTGACCAGCAAGACCAGAAGCTGAGCTGAGAAGAAGTTAAGCCAGTGTGACCCACGGGGACATGTGTAGATGCCTGTGATCATGGTGTCCTTATGAGAAAAAGCCTTGGGCAGCAGCAAATGTTCTACTCAGGAAGAGTGGGGGGACAACAAGAGAAGAGCAAGAGCGTGAATAAGATGTCAAAAGCCTTTGCTCAGTTACGACAGCTGAGAGGACTTTTCAGTTTTACAACTTGTTTTAGTCAGGGTTCTCTCGAACAGTGTTTCTTTTGACCCCACAAGTGGCACACATCAAATATCTTGCTTATTAGATATTAACATTATGATTCATAACAATAGAAAAATATAGTTATGAAGTAGTAAAGAAATAATTTTATGGTTGGGGGTCACAACATGAGAAACCATATTAAAGGGTCGCAGCATTGGAAAGATGGAGAAGCACTGCTCTAGAGGAACAGAAATGATAGAATGATTATATATTAAAGGAGATTTATTAAACTGGCTTTCATGGTGTGGTCTGGATAGCCCAACAATGACCATATCATGCAGGAGAGTCTGAGGATCCAGTAGTTGCTTGGTCTATGAGGCTGGATGTCTCAGCAGCCCTAATCTGGCACCAAAGGCCTAGAGGATTCCTCGGAGCTACTGTATTCAGTCTAGATTGGAACCCACAGAAGCTGACTCTAATATCAGCAAAGGAATGCTTTGGCAACAGAATAAAGGAACTTGCCATTGAAAGTAAGGGCAAGCAGGCAGAAAGAAAGTTTCCCTTTCCATGTTCTTGTATCTGGACTGCCACCAGCAGGGACTGTCTACATATAGGGTGGGTGTCTTGATTCAAATAACCAAGTCAAGGAAGTCCCTGACAGAGATGACCAATGGCTTGAGTTTTTGTTGATTCCAGATCTGTCAAACTGGCAATAAAAACTAACCATCACAGAGGTCATTAACAAAATCCAAACACCCCTTAGAAGAAGGACCCTATAATAACATGGAAAGTGTATAGCTTACTACCTTTCTAAGATCATTCCTAAATGGACATCTGACTATCAGTCCCAGCCACTGAACCCCACAAAGCAGAGACAATTACCTGATATTTCAAGAATTATTAGATTTAACATCAGCTCATTTGATGCCACTGTGCCGAGGAGAAAGCCAGCCACAATCTCTTGTACCACTTGGTCTCTTCAGAAGACCTGATGATCAGCAGTCTCTGATGTCCAGAAACCCATCATCATGTTTTTCTAGTTGGTACTAACCATCACTTATAGACTACCATATAATTCTATACAATTTGGGATAAAGTCTTATTCTGTCTTTTAACATCTGGAATGGCATATTTGTTCCTCTATTCTTTTTTTTTTTCCAGCAGACACACGGTGACTATTATGTACAAAGAAGTCTAGTGTTTGGCACTGTCTGCTGCTCTTTTCTGATATCCCTGCCCTTTATGTTTGCTTCAAAACTGTCATGTTTAATTCCACTGGGTTTTAGGAGCCCTTGGTTGAGGTTATGGCCCATTGATGGGCTTTCAGTCTCTTATGGCTTTCTCATCTGACCTTGCCTATAGTTTCCTACCAGTCTCTACTTTCTAAACCCAGTCATCAGCCTCCTAAGATTAAAGTGTAGTCTCTAGGAAAATACTCTGCACCTCCCAACATGGTAGTGAAGTTACTCTAATGAAAAACAATTTATCCCTGAGTACAGATTCCCATGTAATATTCTCAAATGATGGCTGATTCCTCCACCATAGACCTACTTGCTACACAGGTATGGGTGTCTGAAGGTGCCTTCACTGTATCTTTCCCCTAAACCCACCAGTACTAACATCCCACAGAATCCTGCTGAGCAAAGTGGTACACACCCATAAGTCCAGAGCTTTGGAGTCTAAAATGGGAGAGATCTGAAGTTCAGGACCAACCTGGGTGTTAAGAGAACTTGTTTCTAAAAGGAGTTTCAGGCCATCAGAATATGTCATCATTCCCTTCCCAATGCTCGGCCCTCTCTAGTCATCAATAAAATGCAGCACTAAGTATTTATTTTTACTTTAATTCCTCTTCCCATATTCTCAATTTAACACAATCTTCTCAGGTCTTTTGGCCCTGTTTGTTGAAACAGCTCTCCCTGGCATCAAGAGTAATCCCCTATTGCTACATGTTTTGCTGAGTTCTCTGTTCTGGTATCCTGGTGTCTCTAAGCAGCATTTGTAACTAAGGTTTCACCTTTCCTAAATTATCTCTGTCATTTGGCCTTCAGATACCAATGTCTCCTGCTTTTTCTCCAACTTGTGTGTGCATTCTCTCTGCTCTTATCTACAATTCCACACTAGCTTAGTCTTTGACCTCCTCTTATCTAGCATCAGGACCTCCCCCAAAGAGTTCATTCAGCCTTGGATCTTCCCATACCAGCCCTAAGCTGATGGGACACTTTCTTGAGCTCTAGCCCTCCAGAGCCAGCCACTTACGTTGTGTCTCAAAATGGAACTCCTAATCTCCAAATCCTTCTTCTCCAGTCCTTCCCATCTCAGTAACTGGTAAATCTATCTTCCCAATTGCTCAGGCCAAGGAGTTCTGTGGGACCTTTGTCTTGTCTCTCTCTTTTTTTTAATTAAGAAATATTTTTCATTCATTTTACACACCAATCAAAGATCTCCCTCTTCCCTCCTCCCGCCCTCCCATCCTCCCCCTCCCAACCTACCTCACACTCTCCCACACACAAGAAGACAAGGGCCTCCCATGGGGAGGTGCATCCAGTAGAAGCAAGTCTAAGCCCTTCCCCCTGCCTCAAGCCTGCACAAGGTGTCCCATCATAAGTAGTGGGCTCTAAAAAGCCTGCTCATGCACCAGGGATGGATTCTAATCCTATCCCCAAGCAGATCAAGCTACACAACTGTCTCAATATGCAGAGGGCCTAGTCCAATCCCATGTAGGCTCCACAGCCATTGATCCAACAACTTTCATGAGTTCCCACTAGTTTGGTTTGGTCGTCTCTGCAGGTTTCCTCATCATGATCCTGATGCACTTGCTCATAGAATCCCTCTTTTATCTCTTTGACTGGACTTCTGGAGCTCTGCCTGGTGTTTGGATGTGGATCTCTGCATCTGCTTCTGTAAGCCTTTGAAGAAAAGCTCTGTGATGACAGAGTATTCATCGGTCTGATCACTGGGGCCAGTTCAGTTCAGGCACCCTCTCCATTATTTCTTGTAGTCCAAGCTGGGGTCATCTTGGGGATTCCTGGAATGTTCTTTGTGTTCCTGATCTCTCCAAGACCTTTATTATGAAGTCTCTTTCTTTTCTATGGCATGTCAAGTGCCTTGACAAATCTTAGCAATTCTGCTTCAAATATTTATCAAGAAAATAACCACTTTTGACAGATTTACTACTAACAGCTCAGCCAGCCACCACCAGCCCTCACCTGAATCATGATAACAGCTTCCATCCTTGACTATGGCCACTTCACATATTACTTTTTTTAGCAAGTAGTGAGAGTAATTTGTATAGCATGCAAACTCAATCTGTTCATACTTCTGCTCAGGGCCCACTAATGGCTTTCCAGTCTCAGAAAATTCTAGACACCTACAATCATATTCTTTCCATCCCATCTCTCTGATTTTATGCTAAATACTATGCTATACATCTTTGAATTGCTATAACAGAATGTCTAGTGTCCCACTTATAAAGAAGATGGGGGTTACTAAAGCTCATGATTTTATAAGCTGAAGGAAGGTAATGGATGAAGATTTTACAGTGAATGACAGACAATGGTGAAGTTAAGGTAGCAGAGAGAACAGGCCTGTTCCTTCAACAACCCTCACCATAACACAACCTTCCACATCATGTCCCCAGTGACCCAAAGATATTGCAGCAGGCCCCATCTGAGGTCCTACCACCTCCCAATAACATCACTCTGGGGACCAAGTATCCAATAACAATGGGTTTTAACAGTAATAATAACAACACATGTATATCTTCTTTCAGGATCAGCATTCTTTTCTAACATCTTAGGGGCTCTGCACATGAATTCATTCAAAATCAGCCTCCTTTCCTGCTGAGTGTCTATATCTCTCTCTTTTCCTTTGTAATTCTGGCCAGATAGAGGATGGAGACACAAAACAGAGACGGGGAGGAGGCCAGGGTCCCACAGTCTCCTGTGAGAGCCTATCCCTAATGACATAAAACCTCCCAATAGGTCCCATCTCCTAAAATCTCCACCTCTAATTGATATCAAACTAGAGACCAACCCTCAAACATAATTGAGCGTGTGGCGCCACATGCTGCCATGCCTTTCCCACCATGGTGGACTGTATCCCCTCAAACAGTGAGCCAGAACACATCCTTCCTCTGCTAAAACATTGCTCAGAGTTGTGTCTCCATTTTGGAGCTATTGGGAACTAGTGTATTGACTTTAATTGACTTAGATTTTTCTCAAAATATATATCAAACAATAGATAATGTAGATGATGCCAGTGTTACAACACAAAAGAAAAATCTCTCATAATATAATTGACCTTCCTAAGGCTGTCAGCATGACTCATGTCTACAGTATTGGGTTCTGTGACAAAATTTAATAAAATCTGCTAAACTCAATACTTTCCCCCCCCCGAAAACCTGGTTTTTAAATTTAAATGTATTTATTTATAATAATTATTATTTGTGTATAAAAGAGAGAAAGAAAGAGAGGGAGACAGAGGGAAAGGGGGTGTTGCAGGGCATGTGTGGAAGTCTGAAGATGACTTTCAGCTTTCAGTTCTCTCCTTCCACCATGGGTTCCAGGGATTGAACTCAGGCTTGTGCAGAAGGCACTTTTTCCAAATGACCCATCTTGTCTGCCTTCCATTTAATTTACAAAGTTCACTATAAAATTAAAATTATCATATTTAATAGCCTCACCCCTGACACAGAAAGAGCATAAAGTAGATGTTATTGCCAACACTTGTGCTTATGGGAATGTGACTTCTGATGGCAGAATGCTTTTTGTGCAGCTTTGTGTAGTGCGTGCGTGCGTGCGTGCGTGCGTGCGTGCGTGTGTGTGTGTGTTTTATAGGTGGATTTTTTTTTCATGACAAGAATCTCATGTAACATAAGCTGGCCTCAAACTTACTATATAGCCAAGGATGGCCTTCTCTTCTTTTACTTACATCAGTTTCTTAATCAGTAATTTGGGGAAATATTTTGGTTCTTAAATACCCACCTCAGAAGCACACATTTAATAAACAGTGATCTCCAAGCAAAGCAACTGTCGCTGCATATCTGGTTTGGTGTCTTCATTTGATGTCTGCATGACCAACTCTGAAGATGGTGACAGAAAAATCAGAGTCAGGAAAATGTCTTCACAGCAGGACACCACGGAGAAGTCAGAGTAATGAGGCAATACAAGAGATAGACCAAGCAAGGCAGGGCCAAGAATGGCAGTGCAGAGAAACAGTGCAGAAACCCAGGGTCCACCTACAGCTCACAGCTCCTTGCAGATGCTGGGAGACACAGAACACTCTTCTCAAACAACATTTAAAAGTTAGAGCCAACCCAGTGAGACAGCTCAGTCATTAAAGGCATTCAGTATCAAGGCCATCCTCAGCTACATAGGGAGTTTGAGGCCAGCCTGGGTTACATGGGAACCTGTCTGCTCTGCTTAAATATAATTGTTAAAATAAACATGTACCTATAATCCTAGCACGTGGAGGCTGAAGCAGGAGACTGCTGCAAATCCAAGGCAGGCCTGGGACATATAGAAAAGCACCACTTCATAAAAGAAACAAGTAAATAAAAAAAAAAACAGAATCACTTCACTGTAGAACCTTCAAGATGTCAATCATCCTTCAGTGATTGAAGAGACATGGTGGAAATAAAGGTTTTATCACTTACAGGTCTCGGAGAGTTCACAACACTCCTGACAACCATATACAGAGGTCAGAGAATGCAGACAGGGAGACAGGGAGAGGGACAGACCCATGGGCCAAAACTTTGTTAAGGGAAGGGAATTTTCTAAGCGGTTTTCTGTGGGGCGTTTCAGTTGGTAGCTGAGAAGCCTGTCCAATTCGGATGTAACATGAGGGGCTGTAGGGCCAGTCGTGTATGTGGCAAGGCAAGGGTGGGAGTTCCTAGGGGAAAGCTGTACCTGGCTGAACCGCATAAGACTGGAAGGAAGTGTGGGAATAGAAACCATCACCTAAGATGACAACCTCAGCTTCCTGTCCGAGAAAGTCCAGTTTATACCCAACATGGACTCCAAGGTGACAAAAAATTATGAGGCTTTACCACATAAATATAAATACATGTATACACAAATGAAAAGTATTATCTTAATCCTCTTTTTGTGTTATTTCATCCTATTCAAGCAAATTTGAAGAAGAGTGGCAAGATTCTAATTTCACACCCTTGAATCACATTTTTAAACTTTTGACATACAATGATGCCACCCTTTGATATATTCTTTTATATTCACGCTTGCCCATAAAATAAAAAGAAGCCATACTTTTAAGGTCTGAGCTATCACAATGTGACCTAAAACCCCACAGCTTGGTCCTGGTCCATCAGTAAAATGCTGCAGAATCAATACAAATTCTATTAGAGGATGCAGCTGAGTTTGCCACTTGGTTCATAACCCAGTAGGTGACACCACATTTTATTTCAAATCCATTAAAGAATAGCTCAAGGGCTGGGGGCTGGGGAGCTACATCAGTTAAGAAAGTGCTTGCCTTGCAAGCAGGAGGACCTAAGATTTATTCCCAGAATCCATGTAAAAATGTGTGGCCGGGTAGTAGTCCCAGCACTGGGGGGGGCGGGGGGGGGGTATCTGAGCTTGCCTCTGGTCTTCACATTCATCTACAAATATGGTTTTGAAAATAAAAATAGATGAAATGATAGATTTATGAAATGAAATCAGTGCTACATCACCCGAAAGAGCTGCTAGCATATGGTAGTGTGCGATTGTATGGAAACACAGCCTCAGAACTGCCAAGCACCTGCTCCTTCCTAGCTGTTTAGCTTCAGGCTCATGTTTCTCTGTTCTAAAGACTCAGCACACTTACAATGAGATTAAGAACAGGTAGCTCCTGGTTCAGATAATGTCCCAGGGAGACTCAAAACTTTAAGACACAACTGAGATCCAACAATGTGAACATTTCATGATTCCGCATTCATTCGCTTAGGAAAAATCTTGACATCAGACTACTGCAGAATACAACTGAAGTTTCCACAAACTGTGAACACCTCCACCTTCTGACCGGAATACTGTCAGCAGAGCCTGTGACCCGAGGCCAGCAGTAGGCAGCTGTAAGATGTTTAACAGCCACCGATGGGAGTGGTCTAGGTGACTCTGACATATATATTTTTTTTACATTTATAATGTGTGTGGTGCACCTACAATGGTGTATGAGCAGAGATCAGAGAACATTGTATGTCTGTGTGCTAGGTACAGAAGAGAGCTTCTGTGCTGCCTTTATGTGGTGCTGAGGACGGAACCCCATGCATACTAGACAAGCACTCTATCAGCTGAGCCACACTGCCAGCCCAATGATTAACTTTTAGTTATCACGAAAATTTGCCCCATGCCTGTTTTAAGCACTCAGTATTGAACATCATACAGAGCAGAGGCATCTGGAACTTCCTAGTCACAATACACAGCATTTGTTGCTTGCAGTGATGCTAAGGAGCAATACTTGCTGTATAAATCTGGCCTTGTTCTTTGCCTGGTTAGTTTCCAGTTTGTCTTTGTCGACTGAATGACATGTGGACACGACCACTCCAAGGTATGGTTGACGAGAAAGTTTTTTTTTTTTTTTTGGTTTTTCGAGACAGGGTTTCTCTGTGTAGCTTTGCGCCTTTCCTGGAGCTCACTTGGTAGCCCAGGCTGGCCTCGAACTCACAGAGATCCGCCTGGCTCTGCCTCCCGAGTGCTGGGATTAAAGGCGTGCGCCACCAACGCCCGGTCGACGAGAAAGTTTTTATTGTAGATATGAAGGAGAGTTCAGCCAGAGGCATCTGGAAGAGTCCAGACTGAACCAAGCCATGAGAGGATGGGAGGTGGGGGAGGTGAGAGAAGAGAAGAGAGAGAGGGAGAAAGCAGACCTAGAGAGAGGAGCCAAGGACCAAGAGAGAGAGAGCTTGGTCAAAATGCCAGGTTTTTTATAGGAATCAGAAGCTGGGGGAAGGGAGGGGAAGCCCATGGGCTGGAGAGGTTTAGGGTAGAGGCTGAGGTGAGAAGAGCTGAGAGGAGCCAAGATGCTGGCAGCAAGGACTCTGTAATAATTACTTGCAATGCTGAGAGAGCCTGAGGCCAGCATGAGCTTTGCTACACTAATAGGCACCACAGTTAGCCATTTGTCCTGAGTTTCTTTGGGATCTGACATCCACAAGCCATTTCTGCCACTCTTGGCATTTAATGTTTTTTTCCTGTCATTGTTGAGACAGGGTCTGCTGTAGAGTCCAAGCTAGCCTTCAACTCTTGCATTCCTCCTGCCTCAGCCTCCCCCATGCTAGTAAGACTGGTCTGCACACCACACTTGCCAACAGCTGCTGCTTCGTACTGAGTTAAACAAATTCCTTCCTCCTGTCTGTCTCCATTGCCGGCCACGCTCTTGTAACCCCATCCACCTCATGGTCTACCTGATCTTTGAGCCGAGTGCCAGCCCTTCAGTCGGGACTTGCCTTATCTATTTACATTTTAAAAACCCTGTCTTTAACTTCAGTTTCTCCCTAGAGAAAAAGAAGGCTCTAGCTTTCGCTCCCAGCAGCCGCAGCGACTTTGCTCTGTTGCTCTAAGGACGAAGTCTGAGGACTGATCTCAGAGTTCTTCTAGACTTCCTGTTACCAGCAGTGCTGATGGCCAGAGGCACTCCTGGTGTCAGAGAACACTGGAACCTTCTCTCACACAGTTCCTGCCCGGCTCTACAGATGCTGTTCCCGGCCCTCCTCCTGCCAAGTGTGGAGGGCACATCTTTCCCACTGGATCCCTGCCATTTCTTTCACACATTTTACGTCATGTTCTTTCCCATTGTTTTTGTGCATTTGGGTGTATAAAAATTCTCAGAAAAAAAAAAAACCTACAAAACCACTGTTTTGAGATGCTTTCAATAATTTTTTACAGGGTTTTTTTTTTTTTGTCATAGGGATTTCTGCTAGTTTGAATTTAGAAGTTTATTTAAATTCAATTTGGTCTGGTTTTGCTTTCAGTGGAGAGAGAAGGCTTTATAAGGCATCATATGACTTAAGAAAGGAGAAGGAATTAGCAAACATAAAAAAATGTAATTAGACACGCTGATGAAGCAAAAATCAAATTTTTAAGTAAAGCCCACAGAAAGTAAATTCAAATATGTTCAGGCGAAATACCACCTGAGCAGACAGGAGGGCTTCACGGAGACTCCACAGCAGCATCCCAGGTCTGCCTGCACTTCCCCCATCAACCGGCTCCTCCCTTCTCTGCATTGCCAAAGGCTGCCTGTCCTTACAGCATTCCCTCCCCTATAAACCTGCTCAAGTTGCTCCCTCAGGAATACTTCCTCAACTGCCCTCAACTCTAGCTACTGCACTTTCCCATGTTTGATTTCTAAAACAGCTCTGCTTTCAGAGCAAGGGACCTACCTTGATGTCTGTTTGTGACAAGATCTCATGTAGCCCACAGAGAGAGACTTGGAACTCAGGATCCTCCATTACCCAGGATTGGGATTCCATTATGATGCTCTTCGCATTACACCCAGCTCAGAGGCTGCATGGGGTACGCCTGCAATGCTTACAAACACGCTTAGTTAACATTAGCTCCTTCTCCGACATATGCAACTCGGTTCAAATCTTAATGAACATTTTGTTTGTGTGTGTGTGGTGTGGTGTGTGTTTGCATGTGTGTGTGGTGCGGTGTGTAATGTGTGTGCCTGTGTATCAGTGTGTGTGTATGGTATGTGTATGCACATGCACGTGTGTGTGTGTGTGTGTGTGTGTGTGTGTGTGTGTGTGTGTGTGTGTTGTATATGCACATATGTTCAGGTGAGTGCACCATGTATGTCTAGAAGCTAGCTGAGAAGAAGGCCACCAGAGGAGGTTAGGGGTCCTGCTCTATCACTCTGCCTTGTTCCCTTGAGAAAGGGTCTCCCGCCACACATAGTTGTGTGTCACCATAGACTGGTGACCAGCAGTCCTCCTGTATCTGCCTCCCAACAGCACTGGTGTTATAGGTGCAGGCAACTATACACAGCTTTCTGAGTGTTTCTGGGCATCTGAGTCAGGGTCCCCATGCTTGCACAGTAAATGCTTTTACCCACTGAGTCATCTCTCCTCAACCTATAACTGGATCCCTTAAGGTGCATGAAAATTTGCTTCATAGACTTCTCTCTATATTTTTAGAGGAAACATTAAAAGAAAAGGTGAACATGTTGCATCTTTTTAAGCACATATATAAATGCATAAATATTATTAGTGACTTATTATTATTAATAGTGAATATTATTATTATTACCTCAGACACATTTAAAAATTAAGTTTTCTAGACCACTTTTTAAGATGATCCAAAAAATGTAACACCTGAGTTGTGCTTAAGGCTTCTCTTAAGTGTATACACCTTCTCTCAGTGTATAAATCTAGACAGAGGTCGATAGGAATACCAGTGACTGAAAAGCTAATCTTAGGATTCAAGGAACTTCAGTTTTTAAAAACATTCTTTAAATTTTTGTTTTGTTTTGTTTTAATGTGGATGTTTGTGTGTCTGCTGTGTGTGGTTTGTGCCCATGAGTGCAGTGCCCACAGAGGCCAGAAGAGAGTGTCTGATCCCCTGGAGCTGGAGTCACAGGCAGCTATGAGCCACTTGAGATGGGTGCTGGGAACCAAACAGGTCCTCTGTTGAGCAGTAAATGCTCTTACTCACTAGGCTGTGTCTGCAGTCTAACATCAGAGCTTTCAAATCCTCAGCTTTAGAATTGCTGTTGAGAGTGTATGAAGATTCAAAGTAGTATATTAAAAATGCTTATCTCTTCTTTTACTAAAATTGTCCATATATTTGTTTTTATTTTCTAAGTTTTATAAACAATGCCTCTTATTCTCTCTCTTTCTACTGAAAATTTAGTGACTGTTTTGGGAATATTCATTAACCAGACTGCTCAGTGTTATGGAATATTACTTTAACTATGTAAAGGTGTGTTACATTTGTTTATGCTGCATTTGTTTAACTAGGCAAGGATGTGTTACATTTGTTTATGTTGCATTTGTTTAATTATGTAAAGATATGTTGCTGTTTTACCTTGCCTACTTAAGGCACCTGATTGGTATAATAAAAAGCTGAATGGCCAATAGCTAGGCAGGAGAGGGATAGGCAGGGCTGATGGCAGAGAGAATAAGTAAGAGGAGAAATCTAGCCTCAGGAGGGTGGGCAGGAGGCAGAGAATGAGGAAGAAAGAAAGGGAGACACCAGAGGCCAGCCAGCCAAGCAGCTGCCAGACAGAAAGACACAGAATAGGACATACAGAATGAAAGAAAGGTAAAAAAGCCCTGAGGCAAAACATAGATGAAGATAAATAGGTTAATTTAAGTTATAAGAGGTAGTGGGATAAGCATGAGATAAGGCTGAGCATTCATAACTAGTAAGTCTCTGTGTCATGATTTAGGGCCTGGTTGTCCAAGAAAGTCTGCCACAGCTCCATGCTCTTTAGATTGAAAAACCCAGTTAAATACTTGAATATTTGGCATCCTTACTTCCTTGGCAGTGACTGACCATGGGGGCTTTGTGTATCCCATTCTCTCAGATTGTCTCCCACACACTGAGTCCTCTGATCTAGGCCACTTGTTGAAGAAGTAGCCCCAAGAATCTTTCAAATGTGCTTCAGAAATATCATTAATCTTCAGATTTACTATGCCCAGGCTCAGTCTTCAACTTCTAAAAAAAAATGGAAGGCTCTATGCTAGATCTGAGGTTGTCATTCTACTACATGACTTTGAGTACACATGAGTGACTGTGTACTTAATTTTCCACACTCAGAGGGGCAAAATGGGGGCAGGAAGAATTATCTACGTAAATTAGACCTAAATCTCTTGGCAAATGTTGCTAGTTCTCTCTGAAAATCCACTTCTAAAAGATGGGCAACAACAGCACACAGATCAATACATTCATGCAGACATCCATGGACAGGGCACATTCCTAACTTAGTTTTAAAGGAAGCATGGGCATACTTTATAGGCTCCAGAGAGAGCATAACAGGGCAGTTTATTATTTTGGAGCAGGTAGCACAGAGCCTGAAATTTCCATCTTTTCATGATTTCAGTAAAGACAAAGTATGCCCTATGTGTATCTCATAGTGACTTGGAGTCCAGCCAAAAGACACAGGGCTCCAGTTCAAGGGTTAAGTCATCACGTACTATCAACCCTAACAACACACTGATTCACACTATTTGCCCTGAAAGCAGCTAAGAAATTCAAGCAAAGTTGGTTAGAACAAACACGCCATTGTTTTTAGCCAAGTAAAATGTGTGATCTGAGTTTCTTGAGGGTCTCCAAAGTATGCACACAAACCAAATCAGTGTCAGGTTATGAGAAGGCTTCCTTGATAATGGGTCATTGAGCTGTATTGGATGTACATTTCTGGCCGCCTATTTCAAATACTTACTTGTAACCATGTAAAAGTAACAACATAAGAAATTTCCAAGTTAGCGAATCTTTAATTCCAAAATAAGCTAGAGGCTGAAAAGACATAACTTGGTTTGTGTAAATACTTTACAAATTTGAATTTATGATTAAATAAAAGTCAGTCTTGTCCAGAATGTCTGAGAAGTCTTGGCTTTATAACTGTTTTTCTTAAGTCTGTTAACAGGGGAGTAACTGAAACATACTACAGCAACAAACGGCTGATGGAAATCAAATAAAGGGAACTAGTGAAAACTACATGGAAGGGCTTGGAGAGATGGCTCCACATCCACTTGCTGCTCTTGTAGAGGACCCACATTCAGTTCCAGCATCCATATAGGCAGCTCAACCACCTGTAACTCCAGCTCCATGTGAATCTGAGGCTTCTGAGACCTACATTTGTGAGCACATACCCAAGCAGAGATACACACTCATACACATAATTAAAATAAAAACAAATCTTTTTAAAAGTCATGGACCATTGTTTTTGTTGTTTGCTGATGAACACCTCTTTCTTCTCCCATGATTTCACAACCACATTTGATATGCCATGATCATTTAAGCTCACAAACATGCAAACCAAAAGATATTTTCATTCCATACTAAGTGGGACTACCAAGTAAAGGTTTCCAAAACACATAACATCCTCATCATCGAGACTAAATTAAGAACCTGGGGGTGGTTGAATCAAGTCACCTGAGTGCTTTAACAGCAGTCACATTTTCAATGTAAGAGTCAGGCAGAGGGATATCTGAGAATAGAAGAAAAATCATGTGAAGAAGGGTGAGTCGGCCAAAATGGATGTCCCACCTCTGGTTCTGAAGATGTAGGATGCAGCTATTCATGCTGGACCAAGCAAGTGCTTTGATTCTGTCCTAGAGCCTGTGGAGGAGCACAGCCCAGAGGATAATGACATCAGCCAAGCCATTTGGAGACATCTCATCTCCAAAAGATTCCCAGTGAAGAAATCTTCCTGTTGCCTTAAGACCCCAGGTGTGTGATAGTTAATTTATAGTAACCACTGGAAAGATGTCTAAAGACACAGAAAAAGATGCTTAACATTGGTAATCCCAAGGGAGCTACAGAGTAAAACCACAAGGAGGCATCATGCATACTGACTGACTAGAATGGCTGATATTGCTGGGGTGGGGGGTAGATAATGAATAACCTAAGCAATAATGAATAAGCTGGCTACTCTGAGACACAACTTAGTAGTGCTTGGAAACGTAAGCATGTACTGCAAACTCAGTCATCGAAATCCTATGTCATTACTCAAGAGAAACAAAGTAATTTGTATGAGTTTACTGCAGTTTTCTTTGCAGTAGGTCAATACCAGAGTTGGTTCAAATGCACATAATAATTAGGGAAATGGGGAAACGAGCTGCAGTATATCTACAAAGTGAAATAAGGCTCAAAATAGGAAGGAATGAACTCATGATATATGAAAACCAGGGGTGAATAGGCAGAGCAAAAGAAAACACAGTATATTCTCTCCTAACAAAGAATACACAAAGTGATGTCATTTATATAAAACTTCACAAAATGGTTATTACCAGTGACAGAAAACAAGCAAGCTGCCGTGCAGAGGAAAAAGTGGCCTGAGGAAGAAGGAGGATCATAGAGAGATGTGGGGAACTTTGTCAAGTGAGAGACAGCTTCACAAATGACATGAGTTGAACTTCTGATTGTGTCCATATGCAGTTTATTGCACATAGATTAAACTGTAATAAAACTGTCATAAATAATATAAAATGTGTTTTAATGAGCAATTTCAACTTAAGATGTAGAACTGAACTCTACAGTAACGGAACATTAATCTTTAAAGCATTACATTTCACAGAGCACTTAAATTCTCAAATCCTAACTTTGTGGCTAAGTACATTCATGCATCTGGCCTACAGTCTAGTTGTCAATATAATGTTTATATCTTGGTGAACTCATGTTGTGAAATACTGCCCTAACTTATGTGACATTGAGGTTTTGATTCTGAACCTACTTTAGGATGAAATAAAAACTGGCTCACTGCAATAAAAAAGGAATATATCTATGTATAGATATATATATGTGCCACTCTCTACATAGGACTGAAAACGTGAAGGGGTGTGGAGAGGCCATCC